TTTTCGAGGCGTAGGTGAAAGCCATACTCACGGATCTGCTCGAGAACAGCGTAGAGACTGCGATCGTGTTCCTGCTTGGTGCGACCAGCGATGAAGATGTCGTCCAAATACGGCTTGACTCCAGGGATGCCAGCCACCATGCTGTCGATGATGCGCTGGAAAGCGCCGGGTGCCGACTTGACTCCGGGGGGTAGTCGGTTATACTGGAACAGTCCACGATGCGTGTTGACCGTGAGTAGCTTTCGCGATTCCTCCTCGACCTCGACCTGTAGGTAAGCGTCAGACAAATCGAGATGAGTGAAGTAACGTGCTCCAGCTAGTTCCGCAAAGAGGTCGTCAGGATGAGGCAGTGGATGATGGTCACATTCTAGCGCGTTGTTTAACCCCGTCGAATAATCGCCACATACACGGACTGATACATTGTCCGACTTGCGTACAACGACTATTGGTGCTGCCCAGTCCGAGAATTGAACTGGAGAAATTATACCGTTTTGCTGGAGCCTCTCAAGTTCTGCGTCGTTTCGGGCAATATGCAGGACGTGCGTCAGGCTTGAGGTACAACTTCACTTGCGCTTTTGTGCATCTACCCAGCGTGCTTCGAAAAACTTCCGGAAACTGTTGCTTGAGTTGATTGGTGAACTGATCAGAACGTTGGTGTACGACGTTGACCAAGCTGCTTATCGGCACAGACCACAAATCGAACAGATCCATAGTCTCGATTCCTAGAACGTTGAGTTCAGTGCTGCTTGAGATGAAAATGCTACCAGTCTTGGTAACATTCTTGATCTCGTTCTGGAACTCAGCGAGAAGGTTGAGATTGCCACCAGAAGCTGTAACTGCAGATTCTTTCGTCGGTTGAGTGGGTGGCTGTCCAATGATGATCCATGTTTCTTCGGCGGGATGAACTTCTGCTTGCTTCCGATGTTGCGAACCGTGTAGATGCTTTTTTGTCTTCACGTTCTCTTTGGATTTGGCCTGTTTGAACGGTTTCGACGGCGCATTCTTGTTGCTGTTGCAATAACCTTCCTTGTGTTGCTTGCATCTTGAACAGGTGTGCGAAGCGAACGGACACTCACGAACATAGTGCTGGTCGCCACACTTCCAACATGGCGTTTTCGGCACATTTTGGTTCTTTTTTGAGGCAGGATTATTCTGGTTGCGAGAAACAATGTTGACGTTGCGTGCTTCTTTGTTCTCCACCATCAATGTGTCCTGCTTGAGATTGGCCACGCGATGGCATTCTTCCACGAGGTTCTCCAGGGTTACCTTGCTGGTGGCTTCTCCCAATTCGTTGACTGCGGTTTCGTCGGCTTCCAATTTCGAGATCAACCTAGCTCGTATGTCCGCATCCCGTGACGATTGGAGTCCACAGACGAAACGGAGAGCTTTAAATTGGTCCGGTGTGAGCTTCGACAGCTGAAACGCTTCACAGTGTTTGTTCACCATGGCAGCATACGATGTGAAGTCATCCGCGTCACTTTTTGCATACTGGAGGCACTGGTAACGGGAATGAAAAACCGACTTCTGTCGACCGAACAGTTTCTTCAGTTCTGTGACGGTTTCGTCCAGGGTGAAGTCCCGGGGATGCTTGGGAAGAATGGTGTTGACGTACTTCTCGTGCAGCGGCGTCATCCAGGGATTGGCCATCCTTTGTAAAGACATCCTCGTACCTCGCATACCAGCCATCGAAGAAAACTCCTCCGTCCGGATCGTACTGGAAATCCTGGATCCCGGTTGCCAAGGACTCAATAATCTTCTCACTGCCAGCAGTCGGATTTCCCCGATTTTCCAGGTTTTCAATCTGCTGCTGCTGCCTCGTGATGAGATTCGTTAGCTGCAGGATGGCGTTCCGAAGATCCTCGTCAGACATTTTCTTACATGAGGTTTCTTGCTTCGAGGTTCAAGGTGCTTCCAAAAAATTTCTCGTCGCCAATTGTTATATCCGTAACCAAGGCCAACAAGTAAAACAAGCTGTTGTTAAGAGCTACTATTTATTATGTCTATCTTGGTTGGTAGTCGGATAAAGAATCAATCTCTAACTTATGACAGTCAGGCAAGGCCTACTACATCTAGGCCTACTACACCAACATTTCCATTTCTTCCAGCGTCTCGCCTGTTACCGTCAAGACGGCGTCGTCTGCAAAGTCAACGATCTTAGCTTCAGCGTTAGCACGCCGTTACATCCCATTCCAGAGCGTTGGATCAAGACTGGAGCATTGTGGAACTTCTGCTGTGATCCTAATCGTTCTTTGTCGTATGGCTGTCTCGCAAACCAGTACCCGGTTCCTTCACAGGTAGTCAGGAGCCCAAATTCTATGGAGCGCTTCGGCGATGACCGCAATCACGGCGCAATACCGACCTCCTCTCCGCTTCTGTTTGGGCGCCTTCTCGGCTCTCTCGACCACTGTCCGAATTGCGTCCACCGTTGATCTCCCTTTCCGGAATCCGAACTCCGTGCTCCCTCTCCGTGCATTTCGTCAGACTGTTTAGGATGATCCACTTCAAGAGTTTTTCAAGTGTATCCAGCAGGCATATAATATACTAATTGCTATATTTTCCACAAGTCAGGGAAATGACCCTCGTCCAGGCATTTCTGCAGCACCAACCTGAACATGTCCGGACACGCCTCGATCGCTGCCTTCAACGCCACATTGGGGATTCCATCCGAACCGACTTTCTTCACCTGTTCGCCACTGCTACGAGTTTCTAGTTGGTGACGTCTTCCTCTCCGTAAGATTTAGGTGGCGGGTTGTGCTTCGCGAAAAGTCCTTCTACGATAACTTTCAACTTCTCTGAACACATTTCAGCGGGCATCGTTGGACCTTTGATCACGACACGGTATGCGTTGCCCCAGGGGTTAGCATCAGCGTCTCGACACAGCTCCTTAAAACAGTTTGAATTACTCTGCTTTATCTCTCGCTTAAGTGAGGCCCTGGCCCTGCGTTCTTGCTGTTGTTGCTCTCTGGACACGTCTTCTGGCTCTAGAGACAACTAGCGCGGAGGATGTTAACTGCCACTACTAAGCTGAACGCCGTCTGTTATTTGGTTCGAATTTCCTCGGCATGATCGTGTCACATGCTCTCACTAACATTTCTGTCAGCTCGTCTGTGTTCAGATCCGCGAAACCCCTGCCAACACGGAGTGCTTCAAGGAAAAGTTCATTGTCGAAAGCCTTCGTCTTCCACTTCCGGTCGCAAATTCTCGTCCTCCGTACTTACCGAGGGCGGCGACGCATCTAAATCTCAATGATGCTCGAAAAATCTCACACTAGCGAATCAATCTTCTAAAAATCTTCTTTCATTTCTCGCATCTACTTACATCGCGCATCATCTTTTTGCAGGAAAGCTTCAGAATCGTCATCAATCCTCTTTCTATCTACTCAGCGTACGCGCAGCTAGCCACAGCAAACCACAATCTTTCCTGCATCGTAGATAGAGTCGTCCCCCTCGGTACTGCCACAGTATTCCGTTGGCCGATGCCATATCGGATCGCCTGATGGTCGCTATAGGTATATCCTTCGCACACTCGATACGGTTCCGCACTGATTGCAACGTCGCATTTCGTTTCTGTTTGCCAGAGCAGTTGCTGTCGACGCAATGGAGGTTTATTTGGGTTGCCTCCATTATTATTGGCCTGCCATCGCCTTTTTGTATGCTGGGCATTTGAAGCCTCCCGTCGTATGATCGTATCCGTGCTCTTTTTTGCAGAGCATGCACCTCGGTTGCTTCGTGCAGCCTCTTGCAATGTGACCTTTCTCCCCGCGTTTCCTGCACAGATCAGATCTGTCAGGGCCATTACAGCTCCTCGCCTGGTGACCGAAAGCCTTGCACTTGAAGCATCGCTACAGTTGCTTGGTAGCCCGAGGAGTGGCTTTCAGCGAGCACACTCACAACCCCAGCCTTGATCTTGCCATTCTCCAACAGCTTGGTTGCTGCAACTGTTGAAAGCCGTATCACCGCCGTTTGCATGCCACCATACGCCTTCCTCATCCGGATTGACATCGGTACATCTCCCAGATCATAGTGCACTCTCAACGCACTTCTGCTTAAGGTAAACTATTTGGGAGTGAATAGCTCTCCAATCAAAATTCAGAACAGGAAAAACATGACAATCACCATTTCCGGCCACGCCCATCTTCTCCGTTACGGGGAAAGGAACGCCACCATGGATGCTACGGAGTTGGATAGTTGGGTAGGGATGGGTTAGGATTCGCTTAAGCAGGCAATGCGACCATACTAATTGTGTTGTTTTTGGAGGAGCTTGTGTGTAAACCCACGATCTTCTACTCAGTAAGCAAAAGCGGCACCACCAAGCTAGCCGAGCTCCTCAATTTAAATGTTGGGACCTTATTTAGTGAAGTTTTTACAAATACTGATTGAAATATAATGTGAAAAATAAAAAAAAAACATAGTCTGTAGTTAGCCCGCCTTCTCGTGTTTCCTAAGCTGGATCAAAATGCATATCCCAAAAGCAGATGCAATTTAATCCAAATAGTTATGGTAACGTGTGAAGGTGACCAATATGAAATGGTGCAAAGAGAAACGCGGTGATTACGTTGTACGATGAACACAGAATTTGTGGACACATTTACATCAACCGATTTGATATTGTATCAGTATTTTTGCATTAACATTAATAATATTAAATTTTGATACAATCAGCTTGAATTTAACGTCAAAACAGATTTCAATTTGCTCTTTATGGCAGCCCTGTCTCCGGTTGTACACATGCATCATTTTTCCCCATGTGTATGTGTGAGATCCCCCCCAAAGTGAAAAACCCCACGGCACAGCCACAACACAACATAAAACACGACGACAAGACGGGCCTGCCTGGTTCGTGGGGACGGAACCGAACCCAAGGGAGGGAAGGGTGCGCTGAACCACAATATGTAAATTCGTCCACTTTCGTCCAAACAATCTCCCACACACACACCAAATGTGGACATTTTCCCCCAGAACACCCACCCGGTCCCAATCGTCCAGAACCGAAACACTTACCGAGGATGGTCTTCAGGTGTCGCAACCGAGCGGTGGAATCTTTCTTGCTGTCCTGGATCTTGGCCGTCGATTTCTTCAAATCGATGCTGGACTTTTTGGTGAACATTTTGATAGCCTTTCTAGTGCAGGTGGAAAATCACGACAATTTTTCGACTTTTCCGGATTATTCTAACGCCACCAGCTTCCGGAAAATCCAAGTGGAAGCGATTGTTTTTCTACATTTTCACCAATTGAACACAACACACACAGCTTGCTGGGTGCTGCTGCCAGCTAATAAAATGTTGCACTCTTCTGCGGAACCCACAAACGGTACGACGGTATGCAGCGGGGTGCGGGTGGGATAGTGCAAGAGAACCGTGCCTGTTTAACACCAAATATTACGGGATTTTCTCTTCACACCTTGATCACGCTCTATTCCCGAAGTTTCTTCCATTCGATAACACCGCACCTAACACCACCGGGGTGACGTGATCGACATTTTGATGAGCTGCCACGGAACGGGGCACTGGAATTTCACGAAAAAGCACTTGAAACCGAACCGAACTCGCGAGTGTGGCAGGAAAAAGTTTCACTTTGCGTTTTTCTCTATATGCTGCGCTGCGGACGATGACGGTGATGACGAAGAACGTCTTCCACCTTTCGCGTGTGTCTGTGCGTCTGATGATCTGCTCGCGAAAAATTTGACTGACTTTTGTATGGTGTTGTTGTGATTTGACAGCGACAGGCTGCCCGCGCTGAATGTTTCGACGCAAAAACATCAACAAAGAGCGGTATCGGTTCGGTTTGGTCGAATCGGAAGATGGAGTTTTATTTTGTTTTTAATTGGGTTCTTTAATTTTGTCAAATTTAAAAATTACTCCTAAAATGGAACTGATATCCAACATTTCCAATATTTTGGTGCATTGGAACTATTTTAAATAAGTGCGATTACATTTGCAAAAATCATCATATTAGCGCCCCTCTGTTGGACGTTGGGAGCGAGAAGTCAATTTGTTAGTTTAGTGTCAAACAGTGTAGTTATGATTTTGCTTTAAATCTTGATTTAAGCATCGAGATGAAATTCTATGGGTTTGAAAAAAATATCGTTGTGCTCAGAAAACGAAGCTCTTTTAGATTATGTCCCATTTGGGTTGTGTAGGGGTATTGAGGTAAATATATATTCGTTATCTGCATTAAAAATGGAACCGAAATTCAAAATTTCTTCAATTTTGGTACACTGGAACTATTTTAAATAAGTACGATTACATTAGCAAAAATCACCACCTAAGCACCCGTCGGTTGGACTTTGTATGGGAGCGAGCTACCAACGAATAGATTTAATGTCAATGATCAAAAATTTAAATCTTGATTAAAAAATCGAGATTAATGTCTACGGGATCGATAAAAATATCGTTGTGCTCAGAAAATGAATCTCTATCACAGTGATGGAAAAGTCCGCGAAAACTCACTATGACTCGCGAACTTTTCCCTTGGGAAATATCGCGAACTTTTCCAACACTGCTCTATCAGATGATGTATACAAATCGGTATCTTTTTCAAAGTTGAACAACTCAATTCTAACTATTTAAAAAAAAATCCTCAGTCCATCCATCAGGTCATGGCAGTTCTAATTATTTTAAAATTTCTTCAGTCCATCCATTAATGAAAATTCTACCATCCATTAGGTCATGGCAATTATTATTTACCATTCATCAGGTAATTTTTTTTTATCTAGTTCGTTTATTTGGAAGGCTCAATCGCGTTAGCTTTACGGAGCCGATAATTCATTGTTCACTGTGTGTAACAAAATTCACTTAATTCTATGTCTAGTAGGAGTTGGGCCGATTACTCGCGGCTTACTCGAGGTTAGAAGGGTACATTTTCGAAGGATAGGATCAGGGGAGGAGCTTGGGGTAGGGTTTCGTTGTCTCATCAGAGAGTTGTCGCCAGTATGAACGGTAGTGCTGTTCTAGCTTCGTCCGGAGTTCGACCGGCTATGGTGGGTGACCAGTGGGCGACGATGAGACTCATCGAGATGGGGGGACAAGACAAACAAAAACTAATAAAGAGAGACAAAAGACAAAAGGAATTAAATTCTTATACTAGACATTTGAAGAAAAACATAAACGGACTGCATATAGCAGAGATCACGGGTTGCCAACACGTCTCTGATAGGAACATAGGGTTGTCTTCCTTGGGCCTCGAGGGTATTCAAAAGTCGGTCTCTGGCGGCGTCATTATCCGTACATTGCCAAACTGCGTGTTCGATGTCATCGTAACCGTTTCCACACCGACAGATGTTGCTGTCCACGAGGTTTATTCTATTGAGATGAGCATCTAGCGAGTAGTGGTTGGACATAAGTCTACTCATCACGCGAATGAAGTCACGACTTAAGCCCAAGCCTTTAAACCACGCTCTCGAAGAAACATTAGGAATAATTGAATGTAACCACCGTCCAAGATTTCCAGTGTCCCAATCGGTTTGCCAACTCGAAAAGGTACTCTGACGCACTAAATGGTAAAATTCATCGTGTGAAATTTGCCTGTCATACAATTCGCCTTCCTGCGCGCCCACCTTTGCGAGAGACCCTAATAAAAAATAACCATAAACGAACGATAACCCAAATCATTGAACTATTCCACAAATGGTTTGGATGATACCCAGAACACGTCGTTAAGCAAATTTACCATACAATTTTTATTAGGGAATTGACTTGTTGGTACTTTTCAGTAAAAATACGCGGAATAATAATAGGTCGAAGTTGATCGGGAATCCCATGAGTTGCTTGTTTCATGGTCAGATCATATTCAATTGAGGAACTGCGATTGGTGAAGTGAGCACGGTCTGGAGTATAACAAGGAAGACACATATCTGACGATATGTAGTGGTGGTAGATTCTCATAAATCGAGATTGTGTGTTCAGCCCAAGAATTTCTTCAAAATTAGCAATTATAAGTGTGTTTGTCACTCCGCATTTGATTAGTATTCTGAGAGAGAGCTCCCAGAAACGGTTCTGGAGGGGTGTTACTCCTGCCAGAACCTCGAGACTCATGTTATGCGTTGAGTGCATACAGCCTAGAGCAATACGCAGACAACGATATTGAATTCGTTCCAATTTTATTAGGTGACTTTTTCTTGCCGAGAGAAAGCAGAAAGAGCCGTACTCTAGAACAGAGAGAATAGTTCAAGAGCCACATGTGAAAAGGGCATACAAGCTTTTTGTAAACAAACCTTTGTAGGTCCTCTTCTCGCCAACCGAGGGTCGCCCACGCAAACTAACAACATCATCGGGAAGGCGAAACCTTCCCCTATTCGGCGATGTTGATGGTTTGCGTTGGTGTCATATGGGTGGCGAGAAAAGGGTATAAGAATGTTTGTTTACAAAAAGCTTGTATGCCCTTTTCACATGTTGTTCTTGCAGTTGTTTTATAAAGCGTTATGAGGTCTCCCGGATGAGCACCCCACCATGTGCCGCAAATTGAACGGAGAAAGTTGATCCTCTGCTGACATTTTCGCTTCAAATACGTAATATGGGCATTCCAAGTGCACTTTGAATCAAACCAGACCCCAAGGTACTTGAAAGACAATGATTGAGTAATTTTTCTGCCCAAAAGATTAATAGCGAATTCGTTTATTATCGGGGTTGGAACCAGTTCCAACCCAGTGCGAAACCGAACTTTTTGTCAGTGCGAACCTCAACCTGAGCTAGGTTTTAAAAACAAACGAGCAAACTGACGTTTGTCAGAAAACAAGCAGACCCAATCCTGATACCCGATCCAGGTTGGAACTGAATAATAAACGAATTCGCTATAAGATGCATTTGGGCTGGGTACCGCTTTCGAGTAAACACTACCAGTTCAGTTTTCTGCGGCGAGAATTCGATCCCTAGATTCATAGCCCAAGAAGACAAGTTATCTAAGGAATTTTGCAATGGTCCTTGCAAGTCCACGGCATGTGGACCTCTTACGGAAACCACACCGTCATCTGCAAGTTGTCTTAGCGTGCATTGTTCTGCCAAACAGTTGTCGATATCTTTGACATAAAAGTTATAAAGAAGAGGGCTGAGACATGAGCCTTGGGGCAGGCCCATGTAACTAATTCTGGAAGTTGTCAGTTTTCCAAGAGAAAAGTTCATTTGCTTTTCTGACAACAAATTGTACAAGAAATTATTTAAAATTCCAGAAAGTCCACATCTGTGCAGATTGTCTGACAGAATTTCAATGGAAACTGAATCAAAAGCCCCCTTAATGTCCAAGAATACTGAAGCCAATTGCTCCTTGTGCGCAAAGGCCAGTTGAATATCTGTGGAAAGCAGCGCTAGACAATCGTTTGTTCCTTTGCTCTTGCGGAACCCAAATTGTGTATTTGATAGCAAGTTATTTGATTCGACCCAGTGATCGAGTCTCCGAAGGATCATTTTCTCCAACAATTTCCTAATGCACGAAAGCATAGCAATCGGACGGTATGAGTTATGGTCAGACGCTGATTTGCCAGGTTTTTTAATGGCTATTACTTTGACCTGTCTCCATTCAGGCGGTACAATGTTGTTTTCTAGCAAGGAATTGAATAAATCTAGCAAGCGTCTTTTAGCGATATCTGGGAGATTTTTCAGAAGATTGAATTTAATCATATCGCTTCCCGGTGAGGAGTTGTTCGATGAAAGAAGAGCCATAGAGAAATCCAGCATTGAGAATGGTCTATCCAGAGAGCCGCCGCTAGGAGACGCTTCTCGAAGAATATTTTGTGCTGGAACTGAGTCCGGACAGACCTTTTTAGCAAAATCGAATATCCATCGGTTGGAGTATTCTTCACTCTCATTGAAAGATGAGCGGTTACGCATGTTGCGAGCCACCCTCCACAAGGTGTTCATTGAGGTTTCTCGTGAGAGTCCCTCGACGAAATTGAGCCAATAACCGCGTTTTTTTGCTTTGATTAATTGTTTCAGCTTTGTCTCAAGCTTTGAATATTCCTCGAAGTAAGTGGAGGTTTTGTGTCTACACAGCAAAAAAAAATGTAATATCGATCAACGTAATTCAAGCTGATGTATGAAATAATGATGTAATAGCAAAACGCAGATACAATATTACATCAATGGATGTAATTTTGTTCGCAAAATCGATGTACATCGTACAATGTGATATTACACAACCGATGGATTGACCTGGTTGCAGCAGTTTCGATGTAATATTCAACAACTTTTTTTGCTGTGTACGAAAAGCTTTGAAAGCATCAGATTTTTCTACATACAATTTTGTGCATTCTTCGTCCCAACCAGGTGTGGCTGGTCTCCTCTTAAAGGGTGCATTTGGAACTTTTCTTTTTTGTGCTTCCAGTGAGCTTTTGTAAATCAAATCGGCTAGGAATCGATATTCTTCCAATGGTGGAAGCGCATCTATTGATTCGACACCGATTGTCACCGCCGTTGCATATTTCTGCCAGTCGATGTTCCTTGTAAGATCAAATGGAACCCGAGATGGTTCTGCAGAGTGAGGGCCACACTTTATTGAAATGATGATTGGCAAATGATCGCTACCATGGGGATCATTGATAACCTTCCACTGACAATCCAATGCTAGCGATCTTGAACACAAAGATAGGTCGAGTCGGCTTTCTCGAGCCGGAGGTTTTGCTATACGTGTCGCTTCACCAGTGTTCAAAATAGTCAAATTGAAGTCGTCACATAAATCGTAAAAAATAGCCGCTCTATTGTCATCATATAGATCGCCCCACCCAGTACCATGGGAGTTCATATCACCCAGAATTAATACTGGGGATGGAAGAATCGAAACTAGATTCCAGAGTTGACTACGGCTAATGGAGGTTCTTGGTGGAACGTATACTGAAGCTATGCAAAGATCTTTGTTCTTCACATTTATTTGGCAAGCGACGATTTCGACGCCTGATAGAGCAGGAAGGGAAATTTTGTAGAAAGGGTAGCACTTTTTGATCCCTAAAAGTACTCCTCCATAAGAATCGTCTCTATCCAGGCGTATAATGTTAAAATCGTGGAAGTTGAGTTCTTTATCGGAAGAAAGCCATGTTTCACAGAGAGCAAATATATCACAATCATAATTGTGAAGTAAAAATTTGAACGAGTCTAGCTTAGGCACTAGACTACGGCAGTTCCACTGTAGCATCGTGATCATATCTTCAACCTCGTTCGACGAATTATCCATCGAAAGATATGATTGATGCAAGGAGGGGCCATGAAACAGTCAATTGCTTAAGATATGATTCTAGTGTTGGAAGCAAGGCAGAAACTAAGCTTCTAAGAGGGTCTTGTATGTTGAACATATTTAATATGAATTCCACAATGTCCGAAAAAGCTAGCAAACCTCGTTCGGACTTGGATTTCTTTTGAGAAGTTTGAGGAGCAGCTTTTTTGTTTTTCTTTTCTTTGTTGGGTAATGGCGGAAAATTCTTGCTGCATCCAGGGATTGGATCAACAGGAGCCTTCGGTTTTATTTTTTCATCCCCATTACCCTGGGAATTTGGCAATCGTCTGGAGGTGACTTTAGTTTTCTTACGGCGCACTTTCGGGGAGGGGCATTTTCTTTTTGAGGAACCGTCTATTTTTGAAGGTGCGTGTACCACCGTAGAATCACCTTCATCGGATGAGTCAGAGTCCGATTCTTCAACTGACAAAACCGAAAATTGGTTTGCATCTTGGACGGCTGATGCAGCCTTCAACATTTGAGCATATGTCTGCTTGGAGCGTCCAGAGATTGAACGCTGCACTTTATCGGAGTGCTGTTTGTACATCGGGCACTCCTGCAAGGGGTGAGGATTCTCGCCACAGTAAGCGCATTTTACTGATTCTTTGTGGCAAGAATCCTCTTTGTGGTTTTCACCACATTTGCCACAACGAGTTTTGTTGCCGCAATGGCTGGCCGAGTGTCCCAGCCTTTTGCAGTTGGTACAATTATATACCCTCTGTACAAACAGTCGCACCGGAAAAAAGCACCATCAATTTTAACAAAGTTTGGGAGAACTGAACCTGCGAAAGTCACCCGGAACGAGTCTGAATGTTTATAAACTTTTTTACCGTCTAGCAAAGATGCTGAATGCAGTTGCCTTACATCCAGTATCTTCACTAGCGCGGTAGCGAATGTCGAGTTTTTAAAAGTTCCCGAGGCATGTTTCAAGTCCTCGACAGTCAGACTCGCGTCGGAGACCACGCCTTCTATCTCCACATCTCGAGAAGGGATGTAGATGTTATACTCAACACTAAAAAGCTCGTGTTCAGCAATTTTATTTGCCACATCATAAGTCGGTGCTTCTACACGCAGTTTGTTGAATCTTTCTATGTGTACCAAGATTCCCGGATACTTACGCAGCAAATCTCTCGTTATGTCGAGAGTTTTCAAAGGTTTATTTTTGGGCCGAAAAAAGACAACCCATGGTCCTTTCGAAGACGGTTCATAGTATCTGGTTCGCATAACGTAGGCATCGGAAGATGCCATAAGTGTTGCGCAAAAGCGGTGCGCAACCACTTAAGAAGGAAAAAAAATAAAACCTTCACTAATTAATTAATTTTAATTACTAGTAATTAAATTTTTTGCCCGACGTACGAACAAATCAAAAAGAAAAAAAAATCGAAACAAAACAAAAACTTATATCTACTTGCAAAAAGTTGTCTCACTATGACCCATACTCCCCTACCAGGGGTGAGAGACAGAGTCACGCGCCACGAGGCAAAATTAAACTACAATAGGGAGGCAATGGACTTGCAAAATGTATTGTCTAATACTTATGCCGGTTGTAAACAACCTATCAGCCGTTGCAGCTAGATGGTCCGTTTGCTGCTGCTGGTGGTGATGGTTGGTGTTGGTGGGTCGGCACGATGATGTGAAAAAATGGCTTGACGACCGGATGGGTTACCGGGGTGGATAAAAGCTAGATGGCAACTCCAAGGGGCTCGGCCCATGGAATTCCACTTCCTCTGTTGCACACTGGTCACTTGGGGCACCCAATGGGGGGGTGAAAAAACCGCTCGGGCGGAAAAAACACCGAAAAAACTAGATGCCGCGCGACTGAGACCGGAACGTTGTTAACCGACTGATTGTTCAACTAGGAATGGCATCAGGTAATTCTAACAATTTTGTTTGCATACTCTACCATCCATCAGGTCATGGCAATCATTTTACAAAATTTCTTCAGTCATCATGGCAATTCTTATTTACCATCCATCAGGTCATGGTAATTCCATAGAGATCCCGAAGAAACGTGCTCAACTTTTTGGCTTACCTCTGATGGTACTATCTTCGGTCCCAAGCTTGTCGAATCACCCCTCGAAACATAAGAAAAACCAATAACCTCTCATTTTATCTGTCAAACTTTCATAGCGAATCAAAACAAACATTGCGTAGTACTAGAATTTCGACTAGAATAGGGTACGTTAATCGTTTGCTTGGGACCAATAGGCTACTAAAGTGGTGAGCCAATTTAAAATCGTTAGTTTCGTATTGATTGTTGGTAATTCTATGTACCATCCATCAAGTCATGATAATTCTATCTACCATCCATCAGGTCATGGCAATTATTTTTCAAAAAAATTCTTCAGTTCTTCAGTCATTCCACTATACTTACACTATCGTACCAACTGCGCCATTGTCGTGACCGGACCGAGGTTTCCAGCCTCGGCCACACGAATTAATGGTGCAGCTCCCACGGCTGCGGCAGCTTCCAATCCTGCTGCTATTGTTGCTGCTGTTCTTTCTCCGTCTCCAAAATTCGTTACAAGAATCTCGTCAACGAGCTTAGGGACCTCATATCTCGATGAACATTTCAAATGGTCCTATCTGCTTTGATCGATTCTCTTCATCGACTTTCTCTTTTCATAACCACTGCTATGCAAACAGATTTCGCGCTAATTCTACCACATAGTTTGATAAAGGAGGTTCTTATCTAGCGCCCAAAACGTCAAATACATCAGGGAAAGGTTTTGCAGCTGGTGTTATTGACGAAAGAGAAAGTCGATGAAGAGAATTGATCAATGCAGATATGACCTTTTGAAATGTTTATCTAGATTTATACCTGCTAGCTTATCAAAATTCTCGAACCAGTGAAGGCCGGCGCACAATAGATACGTTTTCGGGTTTTTTGACAGATAATCCATGGGCTAACTGTCAAAAAACCTGAAAACGTATCTATTGTGCGCCGGCCTTGATACCCGCATAAGCGCAAACCATAAATTTACCTTACCTAAAATGGTTAAAATTGTTTATAATCCCTGCTAAACTTCAACTGAAATGGTTATGGAACTTTACATGAACGTTTAATGATAAAGTTTTAACCTTAAGTATTATAGTTTTTTGGAAGTGGACCTTACAAATAATGGGTTGTTAAGAACCATTACCATTCAAAATTCTTGTTTTCTCCATACATTTTCGGAAAGAAAACTATACTTAAACCTTTTAACTTATGGTTTGAGAACATTAATGGTAATGGTTATGGTAACCAGTAAGGTCCATGAATGGTTTTGTAACATCGATCAACTTTATGTGGAATATATCGCGAATTGGTTGCCTGTAAATTACTGATTACCAATTATTCACGATATATTTCACGTAAAGTTGAGTGATAATACAAAACCATTAATGGACCTTACTGACTACCATAACCATAACCATTAATGTTCTCAAACCATAAGTAAAAACGTTCTAATATATAGTTCTCTTTCCGAAAATGTATGGAGAAAACAATAATTTGGAATGTTAATGGTTCTTAACAACCCATTATTTGTAAGGTCCGCTTCCAAAAAACCATAATACATAAGGTTAAAACTTTATCACACAAACGTTCATGTAAAGTTCCATAACCATTTCAGTTGAAGTTTAGCAAGGATTATAAACAATTTATAACCATTATCGGTAAGGTCATGTGATGGTTCGCGTTTATGCGGGTATACAGTTTACATACGGTCTATCACGCTCACTCGATTCTACTCATTCTTTCTTCCACACTAACTTTCTCTACTACAGTATATAATCAACAATCAATACGAAACTAACGATTTTAAATTGGCTCACCACTTTAGTAGCCTATTGGTCCCAAGCAAACGATTAACGTACCCTATTCTAGTCGAAATTCTAGTACTACGCAATGTTTGTTTTGATTCACTATGAAAGTTTGACAGATAAAATGAGGGGTGAATCGATTAGCTTGGGACCGAAGAGAGTACCAGAGCTGAGCCGAAAAGTTGAGCACGTTATTTCGGGACCTTCTAGTCTTATAGCGAATTCGTTTATTATTCAGTTCCAACCTGGATCGGGTATCAAGATTGGGTCTGCTTGTTTTCTGACAAACGTCAGTTTGTTCCTTTGTTTTTAAAACCTAGCTCAGGTTGAGGTTCGCACTGACAAAAAGTTCGGTTTCGCACTGGGTTGGAAGTGGTTCCAACCCCGATAATAAACGAATTCGCTATTAGAGTTACCTCTATGATATAATTGCATTATCTTCCTAATATGAGTCACGTGATTGGGGAATCAACCCGAATGAAAAAGAAAGCACTCTTCCACACAAATCAATCGAAGCTGTATTTCATATTATTAAATCATAAAAAAAAAACACACACAAAGCCAATTTCCTCCAATTCAGTGTCCACGCTGTTGCGTCACGTTGACGATCGACCCGTGGCCGGGATAGGTATATTTCCCGGCCACGTCGGAAATGTTGACGCATCCCAGCTCGTTCGTATCTTCCCGGACGCCAATCAGCTGCTTCAGTTCGTGGTGTCTGCACTTGTCATGGTAATCGTTCAACTTAACGCATTCTCCCTCAAATTCGACCATTTGGGCATCCGCTCGGTGACATCTGTTCGGAACGCATTCCGGCTGCTTGGCCTCCTTCCTTAGGACGAGCATGGTGTTTCCTGTGCAGTACCCTTTGGTGAACAGTGGGTGGCACTGTCTGGTCGGCGGGTGGTAAATGAAGGCTGGAATGGATTAGATTTGGGTGGATTAGATCAGATGGTCACGTGCATGAATTGTACGTCATTTCAACGGAAATTCGGTTCCCGGAAAGCCGTTCCCCGGAAAACCGTTTTCCGGAATGTACAGTTTGCCGGAAACTTCGTTTCCCAGATAACTTTATGCTTTACTGTAAATACTATTCAAATAAGTCTGCACATTGCAGACGAAATACGCGGATCTGTCAAGGAAATCAGGTAGTGGAATGAAATGGAAATTACTAATCCTTATATTCTAGATAGAGTTGGAGTTTGTACCGTAGGAATGAAGTGGAAAGGTAGATCTGCTTGTCGAAAGTATCCTCTGTGTTCGTATCACTGGTCGCACTGCGGAAAACCTGATTGGAGCAAAACTGACGCTCTTTCCCCCGACAAACGAACATTCTGGGCAGGACTTCTCTCGACAGCCAGGACACGAACTTCTGCAGACAGGTGAGCAAACACCCGGCCGTCAACAACCAGGACGATTGCTACATTTTGGTCCTTCTCTCGACAGGTGAGCAAACACCCGGCCGTCAACGAACAGGACGATTGCTACAAGTACGTATACTGGCCAAATTGATTCCCAACAGTCGACGATGAGTTGTACACGAGGTGCTGTGGTTCCGGAGCGATCCGATCACGTACAATGAGGCGTTGAGTAGACCAGACCAAGAACTATGGATGGCGGCTATGCGAGAGGAGATCACTGACATCACTGATTGCGATAGAATAATACGTAAGCGCAAGTCCATTTCCGGGAAAACGCTATGCGATACATCGAAGCCATGCCATATATTTCGAGAACAAGTGAACATTTAGGACTTGGACCACTCACATCCAAATGTCAACTTGCTATTTTTTTAAATGTTACTTAATTAGTCCCAATGATGACTTTCCACGTGGGAAAACATGTTCCCGAACACATTTTAAAAATAAGGCTCACCCTGCAGCAGCAGCGAGATTTGCAAAGGATAGGAAAAAGGTATGTCGACGCAACCAACAGCTTGACGAGGCGTTACGCGAGTCGGGAAAAGCCGAAGAAACGGATGAAGAAGTTCCTGTGTGTAGTGAACTCGTCTAAACCTCACTTGGAGAGTGAGAGCTCTGAAGAGAATGAGTCCCACAAAGGGAAGTTGAGTATGTAAAGGAACAAGAGAAATATACGAATTCAGAACTTGTTAGACAACCCACCAAACTAGACGTGTTTACTTTAGTGTCGACGAGGTGAAATAGTTTTTTTTTTCCAAGTATTTTTATAAGTTTAAAAAGTGGAAAAGTATTTAATTTATTGCGTGCATGAGAATAAATTGAACCTTTGAAGTGAATTTTGCGAACCATCTGGTGAAGATTTGGTGTGGCTTGGAGTAAAACCAGTAAAACTGCATGTAAACTCGGCGTAAGTTATTTCTTTTGTGTGGGAGAACAAAAGATTTTGATGTGCCAAGAGCATTCTTTTTCTATTTCCCTTTTTAATCGCTAAATGTTGTTCTGAGACCAAGCTGTTTAGCTTTTGTGTTGCATTTTTAATCCAGAACAAAATTAATCGGCATTTTGTGAATTTCTTTGAACAAAAGAAAAATCGCCATTTTGTATTACTAAATGATTAAATTTCGCCACTTAAAGGGGAAATTCCCGCCATTTTGTACGGTTACAAAGCATCTTTAGTGATTAGAGGTTCTACAATTTTTCCTCTCATTTTATCATACAGCACCTTGTTTTTTGGAGAAAGACAAAGCGCCCAACACTACACAAGCTATTATCATAGAGGTAACTCTAAGACCACTGGGTCCCGAAGAAAATCATTATTATTTTTGGCTCACTCAGTACCAGAACAACGGTCCCAAGCAGTCCCAAGCTATTTCACTCACCCCTGCATGTTGTGCATGAATCCACACACCCCTCATTTTATCTGTCAAACTTTCATAGCGAATCAAAACAAACATTGCGTAGTACTAGAATTTCGACTAGAATAGGGTACGTTAATCGTTTGCTTGGGACCAATAGGCTACTAAAGTGGTGAGCCAATTTAAAATCGTTAGTTTCGTATTGATTGTTGCTATTATCGCGATTCTCACAAATTCGTACCGATCTCACCACCACTGTTGCATTGAACCGGTTGGCCCGATTCAGTTCAGCTGTCAGACGTCAGTGAGAAGAACGTGTGAAGAGAGTCTCATCAAGTGCAAGTGAAAACAGCATCATTGTTGCATCTGCATGCGTACACCAGTGGAATTTGGTGGCGTGACCTCTACGACCGGCTTAGGAATCGAAGGTTTTCGAAAGGAGGAATTGCGAGATTGAGAAATTTCGCCAGTGAATGTTTTGCAGAGCCCGCTGGTCTTGCTGTTGTTGCTTGCTGGAACCGCTGTTGCTGCTGGAAGTGCTGTTGCTGCTTGAATTGCTGTTGCTGCTGGTTGGAATTGCTGGATCGTCGTTCGATTGCAGTGATCGATCCGCTGCTGTTGAATGTTGCTTGCTGGCTGATTGGATTCACGGTGTTGTTTGCTGGATTGGATTTGGATCGTTTGGTGGAGCCTATTTTTGCCGAGTGGAGGAACCGTTAGTGTTTTGTGTTTGGTTTAGAAACCAAACCGTATCAGGTATGTGATTTAATTTTTATATTTTATTTTGTTCTTGTTTATTGCTACCTTGATTGCTACACAACTTAATTCATGAAGTGTTTTTTTTTTAAATGAAATATCGTTTTTTTTAAACTGCGACATTTATTTATTTTTTTTTTCTCAAATAAATTTTGTGAAAAAAATTCACTGTTTCATTGAAAGGATGTCGACTGCTGCTACTGAGCCATACCTACCGGGTTCTATTCCGTTTGTTGAATACCTTGAACAGCTGCATTGGGTTTTTAAAGCGAATGAATATTCAGATGAAAAGTACAAGACAAAATTTTTAGCTGTTTGCGGTCGGGAAGTTTATTCTGACTTAAAGAAACTTTTTCCTGGTCAAGACTTTGAGCAGTTGAATTACAAACAAATAATTGATGAACTGAAGAAGCATTACGATAAGACCGACTCCGACGTTATACACAGTTACCGTTTTTGGACAAGGAAGCAGGGTAGGAATGAAACTTCTGAAGAATTTGTTTTGAACGTCAAAGTTTTAGCTGAGTTATGCAATTTTGGAACATTTAAAGAGCGAGCGATCAGAGATGTTTTGGTGATCGGGGTTTATGATCAAAATCTTCAAAAGCGTTTGTTTGATGAAGAAGATTTGACGGCTGCAAAAGCAGAGCGGATTATTTTGAGCCAAGAATTGGCAGCTAACAGAACTCGAATGGTGAAGAATGATAATGAAAACAGATCTGGTGTTATTGCAAGATTAGGTCGCAGACCTGACCGGTTTGATTCTAGGCGTAGACCTGATCGGTCTGCTTCTAGGCAAAGAGATAGGAGTGTTAGTCGAAGCAATGATAGAAATCGCTCATTTTCATCCAGGAGTAGATACGATGATAGAAGAAGAACGCATTCTGGGAAGCCGACATTTTTATGTTCTTTTTGTAAGAAAAAAGGACACACTAGGAAATATTGCTACCGATTAACAGGGAAGAGCCCGCGTAAAGATTTCCGGAGTGTTAAGTTTGTAGATTCGCCTAAACTTCCTATTTCAGAAACTTCAGGTCTTTTTAAACGTCTTAAAAAGGATTTGAATTCGGATAGTGAGGAGGATACAAGCATGAATTGCATGATGATCTCCTCAATAAATAGAATAAATGAGCCGTGCTATGTTGAAGCTACTATACAAAGAAAGAGATTGACTAAGGAGGTCGATTGTGGATCGGCAGAAAGTGTAATATCCGAGGAACTGTTCTTGAGAAACTTTAAAAACGTAGCAATTGAACAGTGCAATAAAAAGCTAGTTGTGATAGACGGTAAAAAGCTTAAAGTTCTTGGGAAAGCGGAAGTCCAGGTGCAGCTAGGAAACAGAACGAAACAACTTAATTTGATTATCCTACGTTGTGAGAACGATTTTGTGCCGCTTATGGGGCGAACATGGCTTGACATTTTTTACTCTGGATGGAGAAACACTTTTAGTAGCCCAGTTACTCAGCTAGAACAAATCAACGCACTCAAGGATGAAAAATTAGTTGACGGGATAAAAAGTCTCCCTCGGCGGCAGGATCATTTCTGCTCATAGGCGCCAGATCAAAGCACCAATACTTAACGAAATAGATTCTCCGTTTTCGATGGTGGAATTCTCACTTGCTCTCCTCTCATGTAACAACTCAGCTCCAGGAATGGATAGAATCAAGTTCAACTTGCTCAAAAATCTCCCAGACGTCGCGAAGAGACGCTTGTTGAACTTATTCAATCAATTTCTGGAGCACAACATTGTTCCGGATGATTGGAGGCAAGTAAGAGTTATCGCCATTCGAAAACCCGGTAAACCCGCGTCGGATTATAACTCGTACCGTCCCATCGCGATGCTGTCCTGTATACGGAAATTGTTGGAGAAAATGATTCTTTTTCGTCTAGACAAATGGGTCGAGTCGAATGGTTTACTTTCAGATACGCAATTTGGATTTCGGAGAGGCAAAGGAACGAGCGACTGTCTTGCGTTGCTTTCAACTGAAATTCAACTGGCCTATGCGCAGAAACAGCAAATGGGTTCAGTTTTCTTGGATATTAAGGGGGCTTTTGATTCTGTTTGTATCGATGTCCTTTCGGATAAACTCCACGATAGTGGGCTTTCACCAATTATGAACAACTATTTGAGCAACTTGTTGTCTGAGAAATATATGAGCTTTTCTCATGGAAACTCGACAACTTCACGAATTAGTTACATGGGTCTCCCCCAGGGCTCATGTTTAAGCCCCCTTCTTTATAATTTTTACGTTAAAGACATTGATGGTTGTCTTGATGAAAATTGCTCGCTAAGGCAGCTTGCAGATGACGGCGTTGTGTCCGTTATAGGGCCAAGTGCACCGGACCTGCAAGGACCATTGCAAGATACCTTAGACAATTTGTCTA